TACCCGCCTCACTATGCTATCTCACTTTAGTGTGGGTAGTTTTTGATACTCTCATTAATGCTTCAATAAGAAATTAGTCAGCCTTTGTCGCTAAGGCTGGTTTAATTAATAATAAGTAGACTTTACGATACCATCAAATGGTACGTAGCCCAGCCACCGAAGAGGATGTCCCATCCAGACTGGTTTTAAATACTGTTTCGACATCGCCTCGGTCCTATCAGCACTACAGTAGAAATCGATGCGAGATTATGAGTATCCTGGTGACGTTACCACCATACTACACGGTTACGGGTGCCCTTACGTTATAGGGAAGATGCGAAATTCAAGGTAAGATAAGTTTCTTTTAAACAAAATTGTTTAACTAGTGCATTTATTTTTTAAGCTACGTCATTACTTATTTTAGATATAAGTAGTTTCTAAGACTATCAATAATTCCCGAATTCTATCCTGCAAAGGTTGCTGGTGAGACTGTGAGGCGAGGTCAAAATTAAAGTCCAGTTTAGGCTAGAATTCCTTTTGGGGCTTGGGAGAATCTAAGTATGAAATTAACTGGCATCCTAAGGCCTTCAGATATGATTGTGGGAAAGAAACCATCATCATTTCTTGAACATCTTGAGCGACTTGAGCCGACTATGTTGGCATACAAACATTACTAAAAGTCTTTATAGCTATGGTTCGACTGCGAAGATAGTCGAAAGGTTGATTTAATTGGTTCTGCCTACGAGGCTGACCGTGAGGAGGCTCTTTCAGAAGATTGGATTAAGGAGGAAGCCCATGAGAACGAGAATACAATTGCACAAAATTACAGAATCTGTGGAAATAGGAGGAGGATGAGAGTCCTATCTTCACAGATAAAATGCACGAAAAGCAGTAAAGGACTGACCAATCAAGTCGAATGAAGCCACGCATGAACAAAATTAGGCCTGTCAAACTTGCGATTTATGAAGCACTTTTTGAAAGTTTTTTCTCATTCTCAGATTGAATGAATCTGTTGTTCAGATGTCAAATGTAGAATTTAATATAAATAAAATTTAAAAAAATCTCCCTTCATATGGCTGACTGACGCCCCGGAGACGGCTTGCGTCAACAACCAATTCCTTTTCGATATACAAAACGAAAAAAGCCTCAAATAGTTTCAATAACTAGACCAACTT